TCTTTGGTCGACGCCGAAAGGTTGGAAGCTGTCCCGGGTGCGCGCCTCCCTCGGCCCGTCCAGCCGCGCCTCCGACGTCGCGGGTGCGCAGAGGGACTTCTGGGCTGACATCTGGGGCGGGGCCGACGGGCCCGCTAGATTTGAAGGGCTTCATGGTGAGCTCGAACGGATGCCCCCAATGGGGATTGCTGTGCTCCGACGGGCCTCCAAGAGTTCCCCCGCTAGGACTGCGGCGGGGGCCGATGCTTTCAGGCCTCGGCAGTGGGCTTTATTGAGTCATTCGGCGTTGTCTCTGCTAGGTTACGTTTTCTACTTATGTGAGCAGTGGTCAGTATGGCCCACCCCCCATGCAGTTCATCCACATAGTCCTCCTGGGGAAGCCCGCAGGGGAATGCAGGCCCATCGCGTTGCTCGTGTCGCTCTACCGTGTCTGGGCGAAGGGTCGCATCAGTTATGTTCGGCAGTGGGCTTTCTCTGGGGCGTGATTATATTGCCTTACGCTCTGGTAAGTCTACGACGGACGTCGCCGCTCGGGTTTTGTTGCGGGGGGAAAGACAGAGCAAGTCTCCGACCTTGCCAGGTGATGCAGTAGTTCTCCACGCCGTAGTTGGCGTGGGAAAGGCCGTCGACAGGATCGGATGGAAGTTGACTGTCGCAGCAGGCATTCGGCGCGGCTTCCCAGGTATGTGGTTGTGCCTCTCTCTGCAGATGCATGCTGCAAGTCGCAGGCTGGGCTGGGAAGGGGCATGCTCAGATCCTGTGTGGGCGTCTCGCGGCACCCTGCCAGGATGTATCCTGGCCATGCTCATCCTGCAACTTGTTCTTCTCGCGCCGATGGATTCTCTGCTGTCGGTAACCTCTCATGTGGATCGGTCGTTGCACCTGTGCGCTGACGACGTTGCGGCCCAGGTAGCTTCCACGGTCAGGCGCATTGTTGAGCACGCGTATGATGTCCTCTCAGAGTTAGCCTTCACTCTCGAAGCAATCGAACTTCGAGCAGCTAAGCGGAACATGACGGTCGCGAGCTCTAACCTTCCTTTCGCCAAGCAGGTCTGTCGTCGAATTGGAACTCTAGGTCATCGTGTCGTCGAGGCGCTCGAGGTTCTGGGAGTGGAGGTGGCGTCGGGGAGGCCGATCCGGTATGCTCGGACACGGGTTCGGATCGGACAGATGAAAGTTCGTCAATCTCGATTTCGACGGATGTGTAGAGCTGGTCCTCTCTTGGGCACGTTTGCCAAGCAGGCGATGCCAGCAACTCTGGCGCACGGTGTGGGTGTACATGGGGCTCCCCCGTCTTTTGTCCAGGCTATGCGTCGTGCCCTTAGGGGCGCATGGTACGAACCTGGGAAGCAGAGCTCGGCGTGGTGATCCACGTTCCTCCAGGGATCAGGCACTCAAGATCCTCAGGTCTCGGCGTGGTCAGATTTATATTTCAGTGGGCCCTTCTCTGTTGGGACGTTGCGCTTCATGATGTTCCCAACGGGCTTGGGTTAGGAAGATTGCATTGATTTATCGTACAGCAAAGCCGTGGAGCCACGTGTCGGGCCCCTGCGGGGCCATGTTGCTCGCTTTACGTGATCTGGGATAGGTGTCTCGGGTCAGCTTTCGATTGGAAAACCGACCAGGGCGACGGCGTCGATCTACGAACATGGCCACCTTTATCCGTGCGTGATTTGTCCCGAGAAGCTGCAGAGCGGCGGCTTTGGCTTGATTGGTCGCGGCGCCCCGACCGAGAACGCGGCGCCGAAATGGATCAGAAGTTTCTGACGGGGCACTGGCCGGCACCGATTGTGAGCGTGCTCGGTCGGACGCTGGGGGGGGAAAATCCTGATGGACCTTGCGTTCTAACGAAGCGTCAAGCGGCGACGCTGCGAGCGGTGGTGACTGGAGGTCTTTGGCCACCAGCCAGAAGGGCGAAGCATGGCTATTCTGATTCTGCTGAATGCCCAGTCTGCTCGGCGCCGCATGCTGATCTTTTCCATATTCCATGGGTTTGCGATTCAACTGAGGATGGACGCAGACAGGTGTTTCGTGATGCTGATGAGCAAGGCTGTCTTCCAGATGTTTCTCCCACTTCGCGGTGCTGGACACGAGGGCTGCTTGCGAAATCGGCCTTGCCACCGCCACCCCCACGTGATGGCAGTGAAGTTTGGCGGGTACTTTATGGAGATGCTAGCGTCGTATCTGGAGATGTTTTCTCGGGCGGGGCATGTCGTGAGTATTTCTACTGGCCCGAGGCCTCTCGGGCTGGCTGGGGATTCGCTCAGATTCGGCTCAATGCGATCGACCTGGTGGTGTACGGGCCGCTGCCTGGGCCGATTCAGGCGTCGCCGAGGGCGGAGTTGTACGCTGTGGTTCAGATACTTCGTTGCGATGCTGCCAATTCGAATTCTGACTGATTATCTTGATTTACCTCAGGGACTTGCTCGAGGGCAGGCTTGGGGTTGCAACCCGAGGCGAACCGGCGCTGATCTGTGGTGTGAAATATGGCGCCGTATTGAAGATCTCGGAGGACTTTCATAACCCCTTCAATTCGTTCATGTTCCTGGGCATCAGAAAGGTCAGGGATGTGAAACGAGGGGGAACAGGTGGGCCGACTTCGCGGCCTGTCAGGGCCGTGACATGCATGCAGTCACCAGTGATGTGGCCAAGCGTGTGGAGACCCTTTTTCGTTCCGCCAGGAAAGGTTTGATTTGGCTTGCCAAGACCCATGCTAGTTTCATGGGGCCAATGCCGTTCCAGGTGAAACTCGTTTTCAGGAGCGCCGTCGGGCTCGGGCCAAAGCTAAAGCTAAGCAGTCTGCTGACGCTCATCTGTTTCACATTTTTCCCGTCGGCCAAAGGCTGGCGGTGCCCCTTGTGCTCTGAATATGTTGGGACCTTCAAGCAGCGCAAGATACTCGCGAGTCGCAACTGTCCTGCGAAGATTTCTTTGCGCGATCGTGTTCGGGCCTCCGTTTGCCCTGCTCCTGAGGCCTCTTGTAGTGCCACGGTGACCCCCTCGGAACCTCTCGAGGCAATGGTCGAGCGTACTGCTCGCCCTCGGTCACCTACACCAGCCAGGGACCTTCGGAGGGTGAGAGCGCGGCTGCAGGCCGAACCTGCACCAGCTAGTCGAAAGTCGTATGAATCGTCGCAACAATGTGCTGGTCAGGTTCAGGCCGCCCCTGCTCCCTCGGGTCCCCAGTCCCTTGGGGGGGGGGGGGGGGGGGCGAGCTGTCGTCGCCGTCGTGGTCGGGGGACGGGAGGATTGCTGGCCCCCTGGACGAGCCCACATATTCCGTGCCGTCACCTGCTCAGGTGTTCAGGCGTGTGCACGCGCGCCTGGCCGATGCCAGGACTCGGCCTCGGTCCCCCTCCCCGCCTCCGAGGATGGTGCGGGCGAGGACCGAGGGCCCTGTGCCCCCATCCAGGGGCGTTAGTTTCGCCCTGCCCCGCGTGGACACGCTCGGCCAGGCCGTGCGTGACTTTCAGGCGGGACCCTCTGCTGCCGCTGCCGCTGTCTCCTCTCCTCAGCTGCCCAGTTTTCGGAGGCCGCTTGGGAGAGAACCGCCAATTAAGTCTCGGCGTCTGGGGGGAACTGGGGGGGGGGGCGCCAACCCTAGCTCTCGTCCTGTTCGTCCCCTGCCCCGGTCTGGTGATATCCCCCCTGGCGCGGCGAGAGGGCACGAGCTTTTCGTGGCCCCAGGATCGGTTGTCATTTGTATGATTTGTGGTGTGATTTCCACGGGCAGAGCCTCCTCCTTGGTCTCGCACTGCCCGCCCCCACCCTATTCCAATCGAGCGTTGTCCCACATGTTCCGTTTCAGCACTAATCGGCACCCTGCCGATCAGAGGCGGCGCGAATCCATATCGGGTCAGCGGCGTGTCAGAGTCGATGATCCCGAGGTTCACTGGATGAACCTTTAACTCTTTTGTCGGGCTTTCCAATAAGAGTTCGCCTAATCTTCTTGCGTGCTCTCACTGTCTGCGGCTCCCCCCGCCGAGATTCATTTGGTGGGCGAGTGGGGTGAGCTCCTGTGCAGGTCTTGGGGGATGGCCTTGGTCGTCCTCCCGTTTCAGTGGCCGTTGACGCGCTGCGCGACGGATCCCCATCAGGCTGCGTATTCCTCCTCCTCCTCCTCCATTTCCTCCATCGCTAGAACAGGCAGAGGACGTCATTCTCCGATGGCGATGACGACGCTGATGACGATGAAGGCGACGGTGATAATGGCGGTAATAATGATGATGGTGATGGTGATGATGTTGATGCTGATGATGATGATGATGATGATGTGATGGTGATGATGATGATGATGACGGCGACGACGACAACGCCGATGATGATGATTATGGTGGTGGGTGGTGGTGATGATGCTGCTGCTGCTGATGATGACGATGGTTGTCACGATGCATATCATCATGTTGGTGATGATGCTCATGGTGATGATGCTGATGATGATGACAATGGTGATGGTGATGCTGTTGTTGGTGATGATGATGACGATGACGATGATGATTATGATGATGATGATGACCATCATGATGATGCTGATTACCACAACCACCATCACTATCATCATCATTACCACCATCACCATCAGCATCACCATCAACATCACCATCATCATCACCCTTCCTGGTGCTGGCCAGGCTCACCCTGGATTCAGGATCGGCGTAGATACCGCCCTGGCCAAGCCAGGAGGGCCTGCACGCCGATCCTGTCCAGGATGGGCCTGGCCAGGATCGGTCAGATGGTCAGTGGACGTCCGTCGAAACAGGAGGGGGGATGGCTTTAAGATCCCATCCGTCCAGGCCTCCCGAATGGGGGCGGAGTAAGCGGGGTCGGAGAATCACACTGGAGTGCCGATACACAGTTGTTGTGGCTCGATGCGGAGCCCGATTTTCTCCAAGCTGACTGCGACGATGCATTTCCGACGTCGCCGATGCAGCAGCGACGTCGGCGCGATCCTCTGACCCCATCCTGCTCGGACCCCATCTGAGAGGCCTCCAATCCGTCAGGATCACGTCGGCCTGCCTGGGGCTACGATGGTGAATCTTCGTCGTCCGGCACCCGCGCCCGACAGCCCGGCCCAGCGCCCGGGGCCGGCAAAGAGGGGCTACGCCGCGTGGCTCGGCAGCGTCCTCAAGCGCAGGGTGCCCCCGGCAGCTACCAGCGTGCCCTCTGCACAGCAGGAGTGCTCCGAGGAGGGCCAACTGCCGAGACAGCTATCGACGCCACGGCGGGACTCGCCTCGGGATCCTGGTCAGAACGCGCCCCGGGAGAGGTTCGGGCCGGACGAAAGGGGGGGATTGGGAAAGGGGGGGTTACGAAATTTGCTGCATGCAGCTGGTTTCGGCCTCACCGAGGGGCCCATTCCTCGATACATAGCCGCCTCCGGCGCCGGGAGGCGCCGGGAAGATCAGCTACGTGAGCTGATTCTCAAATCCCCCCTTTGCTATCCCCCCCTTTCGCTCGACCCGAGAGGTGCGGGTATTCTTTTTTTCGTCCCTCCAAGGACGTGACAATCTGAGGCCACGGGTGCTGGTCTCCGCTGTGTGGCGGCCGTGGTCGCCGCCGCCGGCCTTTTTGCGAAGCCTTCAAACACTGCAGGCGGAGCACTTCGTAGTAATGTCGAATTGCGCACTGTGGATGATGGGCCAGCGCAGATCTTCTTGAGTACTGCGCGTGTGTTATGATTCTCGCTTCGCGGACACCACTTCCAGGCATGCGCTCCCGCAGGTGCTATTCCTCCTCTCCGATTCTGCCTCCTCCACTTCCCCCCTCCCCTCTCCTGCTCCTCATTCTCCACCTCTTTCACCTGCTCCCATCTCCTCCCTTTTCTCCCTATCTCTTCTTTTTCGTCGTCCTTGTACTGTTCATTGCTGTCCTCATCTTTCTCCTCTCTCCTCTTCCTTCTCCTCCTCCACCTCCTCCTCCACCTCCTCCTCCTCCTCGTCTCCATCCTCAGGTCCATCCTGCTCCTCCTTCTCCTCTCCCTTATTCTTTCTCCTCCTCCCTCGTCGTCGTCATCCTCCTCATCCCTTCCGCCCCTTCCCCCTTGTTCCCGGCGGAGACAGATGAAATTCCGTACTGACAGTTCGGGAAACATATTTTGGCCGTTCGCGGATGTGGGAGCCCGGAACCACAACCGCAATTGTAGTTGGGATTTTTTTTATTTGCCGCGGGTACCCGCAATTGCACCCGCAAGTCTACCCGCGACCGCATTTGGGCAGCACCTTTTGGGCCGTTGTCGACTTCGACGACGCGCCCGCCCGAGTCACCAATTCGCACTGACATTCTCGCGCGTCAGCGCGGCCTGCGATACACGCTGGGAAGTGCCCAGCGATGTAGCGTCACCGTGGCCGCGTCGTTCGCGCCAGACTAGCTGGCCCCTCTGCGGGCGAGCCTGCGCGCGCTAGCGCGGCCGCAGCGATGTGCCAGCTGGCGCCAAACAGTCATCGCAATCGCCGCCGCGTAGGTTTTGCAAACCAAGTTTCGGGTGGGTGGGTGGGTGGGTGGGCTGGTTGCGCGAGCAACGGGGTGTTTCCGTCGAATTATATGCATCACGTAGCTTGCACCGCGCAGGTTGCAACGACGTGGGATTGCACAATGTAATTTGCTCAGCACAACTTCCACCACATATTTTGTATCACATACCTGACACCACACACCTTGCGACGACGTGGGGTTTTGCATGTCAGCCAGGGGAATCGTGAGCACGCCGTAGGCGAAACCACACCATAACCAAACCCATCATTCTGTGTGGACATCTTAAGCGAAGCCGCGCGGAAACCAAACCAAGTCAGGCAACTTGCGAGGACGTCTCAGGCAACACCGCGCCGACACCAAACGACGCGTCAGGCGAAATTGGCCCCAAACCATGCCACGTCATCGTCTAAACCTGGTAACTTTGGAGCATCTCTCAGGCAGAGCTCCCGGCCAAACCATACCAAACCAGGCCAATCCAGGCCATACCAGGGGCGAAGCCAGGCAAGTTCTGAGAACATCTTAGGCGAAACGCCCCAAACCAAGCTCCATCCGCTGACCTTGATCTCGTCAGATTACAGGAGTGGGTGGCCCCAGGGGGTCCCCGCAGAGGGGTCTGGTACATTGAATATTATTGGGGCGGGAGGGGTCCCAAAGGGAGCGGGTGTGATTGTACTTGCGATAGAACTATTGTTTTTGTTCGGGCCTGTGCGCGACCCCACAGTTTTGCTGCCTCCCTTCGTTTTTGTTCGAAAGCATATGGCTTCATGCGGTTGGGCCTGCTAGGATGTATGCGCCTCGGGTGCCACAGCATGGCCTGGGCGCACCAGCACGCAGTTGTCTTCCGAGTGTCCTGGGGGCAACTGTGTCGTGTACAGTCGGGGCCCTGAAGAAGGAACCCTTGATTGTTTCACAGCTTGCCTCAGGTTTTCCTGATGTTTTCGATGGGAAATCGAAGGTTAACTTGTGGAAAAAAGAGGCCTCGTTCCTTATTCAGGGTTCCTTAGGTCAACGCCCCGACTGTACGGAGGAGTCGTCACAAGGCTGCGGCTGCACACGCATTTGCAGGCATGCCGGGCGATCTAGTAGGGCGAGCAGCGCCGACCCGCTCTTGGGCACCAGCCGTGTGGCACCATGGACAGGGCACCACAGGGACCCACACACACGAGGCACCACAGACCACCAGCCCTGGGGCACCATAGGGCACCAGCCATGGCGCACCGACCGCAGGGCACCATCGCGTGGAGCACCAGCGCGCGCGCCAGCCCACAGCACACCCGCGCGCGCTCGGCCGATTGCGGCACGCCAGTTCCCTGCAAGCGAGCAGGGATCCGTGAGCGCAAGCAGCGTTGGAGGGTCCGACGCGCTCCCATCGTCGAGCACAGGATTACCATTGCATTGCTAGTTTCGCTTCGTGGGTCCATACGTCTCTAGGATGGCTCAAGGGGGCGCCAAGAGGCTGCCAACACGGCGCAACAAGGTTTCAGTTGGTTTCCAACACGACCCAAAATGTTTCTACGACGGCCCAAGTCAAGAGGCGTCAAAAGGCCTCAAGAGTTCCACGAGGGGCTTCAATACAAGCTCAAGACGTGGCAACATATATTTCCTACCGGAAGATGCAGGGAACATAACCAGTGTCCGATTGTTTGTTGCTTCCTGCTTCTGTATATAATGCGTCCCTGGGGCATTCCTAAGCGTCCAAAACTGTCCAAGATGACGCTCTTATGGCGCCCATACCCAAGACGGGGACTTTCTGGATGAATCCAGAGGCCTTCGGGTAGATTCCAAGATGGCGCCGATGAGACTGCAAGGCTCCAGGGGCCTCCAAGTAGACTCCTAGTCACGAGAGAGGCTCCGAGAGAGGCTCCAAGAAGAAGCGCCAAGAGAGGCGCATGTATTTCAAGTCGTTGCCTTTGACGCACTTTGGCCTCTTGGAGGTTTTGGCTGCACATTGTTTCAATGGGCTTCTGAGGGCTCGAAGACGGCTCGGGTGGACTCCGATGGCAGGCTAAAGTTGCCGAAGAGGGTTCCAACCGTCTCGCCAGAGAGGTCCATATGGCCCTACGAGGGTTGCTAGACGGCTCAAGAGGGCCTTGAGACGCCCCAGGACGGCGTGGTGACAGTCCAAGATAGTTCCCCAATGGCCTCCATAGGCCTCAAGATTTCCGAAGGGGCTCCGAAAGCGTTTTTACGTACAGGGGCGTTTGCAGTCGCGATTCCTGTTGTGCCGGACATGGGTTTTGCGCCCGACCTTGGGGACTCGGACAGGTAGTATTTTACGAGGGATCGTGACCCCGGGGACGCGGACCCGCAGCAACTATGGGTGCTGGCGTTGGGAGTACGTCTCACTGAATTTTCAGTACGCGGGATCTTAGCTTTGTCTAACTTTGTGAGTATGGATGGCCCGCATTCTACGACGGATTCTGGCCTCGGGAGCGTGGAGCCACCGTCGGAGTGCGGGATCCGCGCTCGCGCGAACCTGTTTCTGGTCGCAGTAGGCTGGCTCGCGGCGGGCAGGTGTCGTTGCGCTCATCATCATCATCATCATCATCATCATCATCATCATCATCATCATCATCATCTTCTTCTTCTTCATCTCCGCCTTATCCCTCTGCTCAGAGGGGGTGGTGATGGTCAGGGGACCCGTGGCGCCAGGCCCCTGGGGTGTGTGCACGGCCCGCGGGTTGGCCCGAGGGGGGTGGGCAGCGGTGGCGCCAGGCCCGAGGTGCACAGACGATGCCGAGAAAGAGTGCGCCAACGGCGGGCTCTTATCTCGGTGCGACTTGTCGGGGCCAGAAGAAGCCCTACATTCCGATCCGCCGCGTCTGCGGGATGTGTGTGTGTGTGTGTGTGTGTGTGCGCGTTTGTTTGTTCGTTTGTGTGTGTGTGTGTGTGTGCGCGCGCGCGCGCGTGTGTGTGTGTGTTTGTGTGTGTGTGTGTGTGCGTGCGTGCGTGCGTGCGTGCGTGCGTGCGTGTGTGTGTGTGTTTGTGTGTGTGTGGATGTTTTTGTGCCCCTGGGCGCCCAGAGGCTAAGGGAACACGGCACGGTGATGGTAGGCATTTTCAGTTTGGTTTTTGATTGAGGTATCGTGCACGTTTCCAGCGATTGGGGAATGCAAGCTCTGAGGTTGTGAAATTCGTGTGCCCAGAAGTCGCTGCTGCGCAGCTGCTTTGCAGCTAAGACCGCCCGCTGTCCAGTTGCTGCGTTGCTAAGTTCTGAGCGCTGAGACGCCAGTGAAACTGGTCAACCAGTTAATCCGCGCAGCCTGGTCGCCCCCACACAACGGGCTGGCGGATGTTAGCCAGTGGCTTCGTCGTCCTTATAAGGGGAGCTGCCAGTGGTGGGCGCGTCGCCACCGCCACTGACCATGATTCGACCCAGTAGCATCCTGGCAAGCAGATTGCTCGTGCGAGTCGAAATTTCAAGGCAGCAGCACGGCTTGCTAAAGGCTAGGCGTAATCTTGCTGACCTGTACCTCCTTCCTTCTCTCGTTTCGTTCGCTGCCTTCGCACGGACGGACTACGTGGGGCTTGGTCTAGAAATATCATGGTGACTCTGTGGTTGCAAGTGGGGCCTAGGACTAGGGCATTGGAGACGCCGACGACGAGGAGAGAATGATGATTACGACGGCGACAATGATGACAGTGATGCTGATGCTGCTTCTGATGACGATGCTGATTATGACGATGATGCGGATAATGATGGTGTTTATGATTATGTTGATGGTGATGATGATGCAGATGCTATTTATGTTTATGATGATGATGGCACTAATGATGAGGCTGATGATGTTCGTGCTGCTCTTGATGTTGCTGCTGCATATGATGATGCCGAAGGTGAAGATGCTGGTAATGAACGCAGCGTTCTTGTTTAAGATGCTGCTGATGATTCTGATGATGGCTATGTCGATGATGACGATTTTGATGATTTTGATGATGATGCGGTTGATGACGACGAAAATGATGACGATGATGATGACAGTGATGATGATGCTGCTGATGATGATAACGATGGTGATGATGATGGTACTGATTATGCTGCTGATACTGATACTGATCGTGACGATGATGGTGTTGTTGATGATGACGACGCTGGTAATGATGATGCTGATGATGATGAGGCTGCTGCTGATGACGACGACGGATGATGCTGCTGATGATGATGCTGACGATGATGATGACGATGATGATGCTGATCCTGATGATGCTGCTGATGATGCTGATGATGCTGATGATGATGACGATGACGACGACGATGACGATGACGATGACGATGCCGATGCTGCTGATGATGCTGATGATGGTGAGGGGATGATACTGCTGCTGCTGCTGTTGCTGCTGCTGATGATGATGCTGATGATGATGATGATGATGATGATGATGATGATGGTGGTGATGACGCCGCCGCAAACAGCTGCAACAGCGATGGCAGTAACGGCGACGATCATGGTCACGACTACCTGTCGCTTGCAGGACCGGGGGGTGCAGCTGCATCGCCCGCCCGAACACTTCGGGACAGAACCCCTGGAGCCCGATCTCCTGGCCGCCTGGCCAAGGCATGAGGCCATAAACACCGAATCCTGGCCCTGCGAGTCTGGCTGTGCTTGTACAGCTCGTGTCTCGTGCCAGCCGCTAGTCGGCACTTCCCTCCCCGTCCTCTTCTTTTTCGGCCTGTTCGAGGATAGTGGAGTCCCCTTCACATCAGCTGGGAACCTGTCAACTTTGATCTTCGGGCTTCCGTGCAAAACAGAACGCGCCGAATCCTGGGTCCAGAGCCAGCCTGGCCAGGATCGGTATGAGTGCTCCGTGAAGGCCCTCCGACACTGCCTTGCCCGCAATCTCCGAGGCACTCGAGCCCAACGCCTCCATGCACAGCTGCCGCCCCACAAATCAGAGGCCGCCACCACCAGGCAAAGACGTGAGATTGCAAGCCTCGCCGCCGTCGAGCACGACTGCGGGCGGCACCCGACCGGTCAGCCTGCGA